GATCGACTTTGTCTGGTTTTCCTTATCACGCCTATAGAGGGAGGTAGGGCTTGTATTTTGGAAAGGAGTGTTGATTCATGCCGTCAAAGAACACTGAGACATAGACTTACCAGTTCTGTTGAGCAGCTGTGCAGCGCTGAAAACCACTCAGTTTCTTTCTCAGTAATTGTTATTTCAGTCTGCAATTGTTTTCATCCAAGTTGCAACAAGGTAATGAAGAATGGCAACACTTCTACTAGGGAGAGCCAAGGTACCTAAAGCCAGAAGATTCTCACAGAAAAATATCTTTTGACATTTGCTTAATGCTGCAATGATGTAATTCATTACAAAAATAACTGACAGCAATCTAGCTGTTAGTGAAATCATTACGCATGTTACTATGCTTATCTTTAGCTCTTCAATAAAAATTTTTAAATGTGTGAAATTACAGTGATAATGTGAGTTTCTCAATAATTAACCTTAGTAGTTATTAAAATGCTAGGCAATTAGCTCTCTATTTGGCATGTATGCTTTACTTCTTCACCTATTAAATATTCTGCATTTTCCTGTCTATGCTGTTTTAGTTTCTAAGCAGGCATCACCCAAAACCTGTACCAAAAACAAGCTCAGTAATAACAGAAGTTAACATCTACCTCCATTAGTGGATACATTTAAGAAATCAGTGGTCATACAAAAAGCATGAACCTAATGGCCTAACCATGAACCACAAAAAGTGCACTCAGGGAAGAGCTAATATAAATATATAATGCCAGATGCAATTTTCATTTTTTTCTCAGTTTTTCTTGACAGGTTTCCTCACTTATATGTCCAGTAACAAAAAAAAAAACCTTGCAAAGTACAAAACACATCTGAGGGAATGTCAGTCTTCTGTCTCACTGGCACACAAACAAAATAAAATCACAACCTTGAAGAGCCCAGCTACGCTAGGAAAATCTGAAGTATGAATACCTGAAGAAAAGCACTTCCATCAGCTTGGCATAAACTGTACAGGAAATAAGCCACAGAAGCTTGAAAACAGCTTTTAGCTGGCATTGCATTTCAAGTGATATGAAAACAATTGCAATAATAGAGATTTTCTGTATAGATAAGCTTTCAAACACAGCATTTTTATGCAGTGTTGGACATTTGGACATCTGTATGAAGGGCTTGAAGAACTGATTCTGGATATCTACACCTACAGGTTAGTGACAAATCTGCCTAGGAGGGCCATTCAACAGTCTTTGAGCAATGGTGATCAATGGAATGCCCAACCTGGATGTTTTTGGAATCATCAGTCTGAATTTTCTCAAAAGCATAATGATTCTAGGGCTATGTATCCCAGTAAGTGCTTATTTAGCCCAAGAATATATTTAGTAGAATTTAATCCCTGTTATCAGCATGGTGTTTTTATATGACCAAGTCATACACCGACCTAAACAGGTCAGACTTCTCAGCAGCTGTTTGAAGTGCATGACACATTCTGGACAGAAGCAGCTGTCGAGGAGCGTAATGAGGGCAGTTTTGTAGGAAATACCACTTAATTGTGGCTGATGCTGCTGAATTAGTCATACATCCTTACTGCTAGGAGACACTGTCATGGGGCTTTAGCTCTTCTATCTCAGGACAGCATGTTTTACAAGGTGATTTTAGAGAAACAGCTACAGTAATGAAATATTTCAAATTCTGCTCCTTACTCATGAATGTGCAATAGCCATTCCAAACAACACAGCACAAAATGGATTTTTTTTTTTTTCTGGGCTCAAAACACAAAATGTTAAATTTTGGATTGTACAAAATCTATGTCACTAACAGCATAGAATAGCTATCAATTAATTAGTTGAAAGCTTGTAAGTATAGACAAATCTCTTATGAACACGTATCTCTTGAAGAGATGTCTTCACTTTCAATGTTGGTGTGGCAGTGAAAAATTGATTCTAGAATGTTAAATTAAAAACTACTGCAGAAGTGTTTTAAGCACAAATTCATAATAAAATTCACAGATTTTATCTTTTGATTTTTTACTGGGAAATTTACCAAACCATTCTGTCGCACTGTATTAGGAACGCCGACAGTGATGACACAGATTCTCAAGCGTACTTGCAAAAGAGACCCTGTTTTATTTTTCAAGATCTGTTTATATAGACAGTTCCGAAAGGGTCTGAAGAGGCAAAACTTTCATTGGCCACCAAACCAATATATCACCATCATTGCACAGTTAGGAACAACACCCCTCAACTGTTTCTTGCAAGTAAACAACAAGGAGATAAACAACACCTGCAAAGGTGGTTTTCCTTCTCCAAGGATTGAGTTCCTCCTCACAATTTCTCAGGCCACATTTTCTCAAGCCAGTGTAAGAAAGTTATGTGACTTAGTTTCACACAGACACTGTGCTACCTGCCTGATGTCTCACATTCAACATCCACACCATTCTACTTTATTTGTATCTTCCCTGCCTCAAAAACATCAATTTCCTTCAAACAACAGAAGTAGGCTTATGAAGTTCAGAGCTGTTTGTCTATTTAGGGTCATATCAATAAAATCAGCTACATCAGTGGTTAAAGACTTACATTATGAGTAATCAACTATTTAATTTGGTGTATCTTAACTAATTTCCCTTGGGCTTCATGTTCTTGCTGCATGTTGTGTTCTATCAGCTGGGGACAGTCAGCGTGCCTATTTTTAGCAGTGACAAGTTAAACAGCCCACACAAGGAAAGATGCAATAGCTGCTAAACAAGGATATAATGTGAGTGAAAAAACATCTCCCACTGACTTGTCCTTTTCAGAAAAGCTACTTGTTATTTCCATTTTCTCGGTGTCTATAGAAGAAAGGTATGGCTTTGCTAATTAAAGTCATACAAAGCTCAGGTTGGAGTTCTCAATCTGCAGCCCCACAGATTTCGTTCAGCCTGACAAAAGAATGAATTCAACATGATTCTCAGGAAGCCTGTTTCTTCCTATCACATTTGCACATCCTGAACTATGCCACACAATCTGTTTCTCAGGTTTTATGCTGATATTTCCATCAACATTATCATTAGCCTGCAAGGCTTAGCTCTAATTATTAAAATGTCCCATGCTGAACAGGTTTAGTAGCCAGTACAGACACATTCCACCTTAACAACCCCGTATCACAGCATCCACTGGGTTAATTACTGCAAGGTCACAAACCCTTCTTCTAGATCCAAAGTGAACCAAGTATAGAGTTCAACTTAACTGACCTCCTAATTCCAAGTGTCATAATTTCTTTTTAACTAGACCAAGTTTGTTTCTGTCTCTATTTGTGTTTGTTATGATTTAAATATAGGTAAGTCGGAAAAGCTTAGGCAATTGCTGGCACAGTCATAATTTTCTTTCCCAGACAGATGGCACAAATGATGAGGGCCACTAGAAAAGACTTAGCATCTCCAAAGTCACAGGTGCTATACCAGCTATGATATATTGGTGCTTTAATATGGAATGCCAAACACCATTTTTGGGCAGCTCCTCAAAAAAATTGGAAGAGTGAGAGCAACATTTAAAAGTGTTCTACTGGACAGTGCATCACATGTGGTTTGTGTTTGAGAGGTTCATGTATTAAATCAGTCATGAGGAAAAAAAAAAGGCAGTTATGCAAAGGAAAAAAATCCAAATAGTACAGTATTGGTTAAAAATCATAACAGAAATGTATGACAAGCCTTTATATACAATTTAAAATTTGAAAGGGAAGTGAAAGTTCAACATTATCCTCCAAAACGAAAATCCTGCACCAGTAGGAATTACTGAGTGGATAGCATCAATTAATCAAATATACAAACCTACTTAATTTTCATTCCTTGTGTATTTCTTCATATACAATAGTAATTTTCACATTTTCCATCGTTTCCATGAATACTAAAATCATTTTTATAATAGCAGGCATTTCTCGCTCACATTTGTGATCAGGGCTAAACATTGCTTACATTTAGCCTGCATCATTAAATACATTTCTGTTGAGCATTAAATCTCATTTCAAGTCTCCAGTTATGCAATATTCCTTCCACTTACAGACTCCTGCTGTTAGTCTCTGCATTGGCTCATTAAGTGCTTCTTTCCAACAGCATCAGAACAAAACAATTTTCTTTTTTTTCAGTTCATGTTTGAAATGTTATCAGCACACAGTTGAAGAAATTTATTTAGGCAGCAGTGATCTTACAGTTTATGTATAGAATACTTCTGGTATGTTGGATGTATAAGGCATCTTGCTGCAACAAGAGTGAGGTGTTTAGATTCAAAGACCAGGGGGGATCAGCCCAAAAGACACAGCAGTCTTGTACACCAGTAGACAAGACAGTTACCATCTAACAAGATTGAAAAAGGTGAAACTGCTTCTGTTAATGCAAATTTACTATTAACTGACAATTAACAATGACTATCTCTGAAATAGTCAGAGATGTAAACAGAAAGGAAGCCTCAAATCTTGACAACCTGCACCAGAACACCAGCAAGGCTCTGAGACAGACTGCAAATTAAGCCTCAGCCTTTCCAGGAGTTTCATCATAACATTAAAAAAGCTCAGCAGCAGCTTCAAAAGAGAGTTGCAGCCTTGCTAACAGAGAGAACTGAAACTGCTTAATTTTTCATCTGTAGCCAGAATGACAGGAGGAAGACAGAGATGAATGCTTATCACATCTATACCTCACACTAAGCTAAAGAAATACAATTCTCTGTTTGCATTGTTTAAGGCAGTACTGTTACCCACAGCCTGAAAATAGCTCAGCTTTCACCAAAATGGCATTTTATAAACCAGTGCTTTGCTAAAGAAGTGTTATTTTTTGCAACAGCTCTTCCCAGAGGGTGCAATATAGAACACAGAAACAGTACAACCTCTCAGCATTGTTGAACAGAAGAATTACATGGTAAGACAGAAATAAATTAGAAACAGGTTGCTGTATGGAGTACTATAGCTAAAAAAAAAATTTTAATAGCATATGGTTTTGAGTAATTTTTTGCCGCATGTATTACATTAAAGAAATTAAAGACTAAAGAAATTAAAGATATTGGCAAAGGTTTCAAGTAAGACGATTTTATTTTTTAAAATCATTTATACATCACTGAATATTCTGGTAACTTTCAGACCCAAAATAATCCCTAGACACATGTGTTTGTGTATTATATTATAAACTAGTACAGGTTGCCCCTGTTATTTTCAAAAGAAATAACTGTTACAACTTTTCCTCAGGGACATACACAATCTTTATTTAAAGCAACTCTCAGTTAATGTTTTATCACCCTGTCATTACCGTATCTTCTATTAACATACCACTCACAATTAATTTATCAGCATTATGTTGACTTTAGGCTGCAAATTCAGAAAAGCAGACAATGTAGCAGACTCAGTGGTTGTAAAGAACTTTGTATTTTGTGAATCTGTCAAAAGGGCATTCAAATCATTAAGCACTAAAATAAAAACCACACAGATAATTTGGTCTGGTAATTTTTTTCAAATGTTGAAAATATGCATCAACAGTGTAACAAAAAGTTGCATTTAAGTGGTACATCCAACAGTAGCACAAGCTAATAAGCTCCTGCAAAAGTTGCAAAGCTTGTCCATATCAGACAGGATTGTGTGCAAAGCTTGTCGATTCCAGACAGGATTGTGAAAGATAAATGAATCATTACTTTCATCCTATGTAGAAGGGCTCTTGTTACTTGCTAAATTTTTCCTGTTTGGACAGGAAATCATCTAGCTAACAGTATCTCCGATTTTATTTAAATCACTTTTTATCAAAGTAATCTTCCAGAAGCAAAGGTGATCTTCCAAAAGCTTTAGATTTATAAGTTCATGATCCTTGTACTTGCCAAGACTTCATCATGGAACAAAGTTTCAGCAAACATATCGGAGTTTTGCAAAGCCTCAAAAAGACGCTTATAGTCTTCTGGATACAAGTTACACATTGCAGCATTTTTGGGAATTTCTAGTGCTTTCAGTAATGTGTCACTATTGTCCAAGCTCCATGAACTGAAACAAACAAACAAACAAAATCATAATGGACCATTTCTTTCTGTGAAAAACTAAAAAGCAAGAAACATTATCTGAAGGTCCACTTCACTCTTTCACAGCTTCTAGAACCTCTACAGGTTGTGAACCTCTTCTTGCAACACAAGTTCCTTTCAATCCATACTGCAAACAGGAAGAAACCTCTGCTATTAAAAATAGCAAATAAAGCCCCCAGCACACATAGAGAATACCAAACCACATAAACCTCCTCATTACAGGATAGGCGCTCTCTCTTCCTCATCCACCCTAAATGCGTAAGTCAGTAACAGGCATTACAGCCTAAAAAGGGTGTTTCGATGCTGGAGAAATTAAAGCCAAGGGTGACTCAGTATAGCATGAACTAGTGACTTACACCTCCCAGGTATTTTCTTCTATACATAAACAGATGTATCCACCCTCACCCCATCTACATCTTTTGCTAGGAAAGCTATACTTTTATAAATGTGCACATACATTAACTATTTCCCAGACAGGAAAGGAGTGTACAAATACACACAAGATGCATATTAGAAGCCTTCAAATTCCTGGCTGAAGGATCAAGTGAAGATGAGCTATACCACTGAGCTTTAAGAAAGAAATCCATTAAGGTTCTTTAACTTGCCTTTGCTAAGAGAGTACAGGAATTTAGTAGCTTATTTTTTCTCCCTTTCTGGAAATTAACTTTCATAAGCTACTATAAGCAAATGAGGAATATATTCATTATTTTCATCAGCAAGAAGTCAATGCTTTCCAGACTGTGAACACCTTCCATTTCTGGGAAACAGAAATCTACTGATCATAAAGAAAAATGAATAGTTTGCATAATTGGTAAAGTACAAAGCCTAATTTTTTAATTAGATAACAGCCATTTGAGGACATCCCCATTCCACCTTCTAGAACCTTCAGCTGTTTTTATTAGTGTGACTTTGATGTCTGTTACAAGCTGAATGTCTTTCAGCTTTTTTTTTCTGTAACTGCAAAAATCTTGGTGGCTTTCTTATTGTATCTGTAAAATAAGTGAAAACTTCTTGCAGATACATGACCTAATCTCCATGGGAGGTACAGGAATTACTGCATATACAAATTCTAAATACTTGCCAACCTTCCTGACAGGAACAGTCCCCAAAATACTGTATGATAGATTGCACAAATGAAATCTTCTATTCTACATGTTGATGATAAATTAAAAATTAATTAAATTTTTAAAAGGCTGTATTTCATTTGCAAATAAATACTGCTTTGGGAACATATTTTTATATTTTCATATATTTTATAAAAACTGCAATTCTTACTTACTTTAATCTATCAGTAAGTCTAGACTTAGGCTTAGCAAAAGACTGTTTCACCATGAAAATAAAAGTAGATGCATTTGAGGGCTTCAAGCCTCCTGTAAATAGATTTTGCTGAGGAGTCAGTCGTACCAAACATAAATGGTCATTTGGCACCTGCTGCAAGAAAAACAGAATAAGTAAGTCAGTGAAAAAATCACTTTTTAAGACAGTATCTATCTTTACTTTAAAACTGGACTTTCTTAGTTTAAATAGACAATACAAGCTTGATGTGAGTTTTCAAGATATTATATGGCCTAGTGTATTCCTTTCCTATGCAAGGTATCAGACCTGCCTTGTATACATAAAGATGGAATTATATGAACGTAACACAAAGATACTATTGCAGCATGAGGATTTTGTTAAACTGGGATAAAGTGGACTCTTCAACTGAAATAAATGTACTTCTGTATTGGCAAAAATGGATATATTAGATCTGACATTTGTACTTCTAAAGCTGTCTTAGTACATCTTGCATGGTCCACCTGATGACCCTCTCTACATGGCTTTTCATCAACACAACTAAGCATGTAAGGCACACCCAGTCACTTACATATTACAGAAATATTGCAAACTACACTCAATACAGCACCATAGCAGTTTTCTGGGGAGTGTGAAACTTAAAAATATTAAGTAAACATGTTTTTATATTATCAGAATTAAATAGGAACACTCCTTTATTATACAAAGGAACATCATTACTTCTCCAAAGGAGAGAAGTAAATAACTCTACACTTAAACTATAACTTTACAGGTATTTTTGCACTTCCCAGATTTAAGTTTGGAGACCCATGCTTTTCCACAATTGACTTCCACATGAAATCTATAATAGACATGTGAATAACTATTTTAATCAAAATCAGCAGCATTCTGATGGTGTTATTAACTGTGGTAACACTTGTTTTGTTCGAGCAGGTAGATGTGACTATCAGTAACTTTCTCTGGAAAATACTTTACCTATTCATATTCCTTTATGCTGTTTATTCACTGTTTTTTTTCCTTCATGGACAATAAAGATATTAGTTCTTTAAGATAACTAATAAAGATATTTAAGTTTCTAAGATAATAACAATTCTTCACTCCACTTTTGATGGATCTCTATGCTGACTTACATTTTAATTAGAACAGCTCTTAAAAAATATACCTGTAAATGCTGCTATAAAGTTACTTTAACCTTTAATTAAAAGTAGTTTAGCTTCATCTTCAGAAGAAAAGTGTATACAGCAATCTTACCACAGATTTTGGTATCGCCAGTGCCCCATTTTTCAAATTAGTTGCAAATGAAGACCAAGGTTCCTATGGCAGGAAGCAAATGTATTATAAAGTGTTTTGTTAGAATGGAATAGACTATTTCAGTTGGAAGGTACCTACAGTGATCATCTAGTCCAACTGCCTGAGCAATTCAAGGCTAGCCAAGTTAAAGCATGTCCAAATGTTCTCTTTAATGCTGACGGGCTTGGGGCATTGATGATCTTTCTGGGAAGCCTGTTACACTCTTTGACCACCCTCTCCGTAAAGAAGTGTTTAATGCACAGTCTAAACCTCCCCTGGCACAGCTTTGAACCACTTCCATACCTCCTATCGGTGGATACCAGGGAGAAGAGCTCAGGACCTCCCTCTCCCCTTCCCCTCCTCAGAAAGCTGTGGAGTGCAGTGAGGTCACCCCTCAGCCTCCTTGGCTCCAAACAACACAAGCCCAAAGCCCTCAGCTGCTCCTCATGGGACATTCCCTTCTGGTCCTTTCACTGGTTTTGTTGCTGTCCTCTGGATGCAAACAAGAACCTTCACATCCTTCTTAAATTGTGGAGCCCAGAACTGCCCAAGTACTCAAGGTGAGGCTGCACCAATGCTGAATTCAGTGGGACAACCACCTTTCTCCACAGGCTGATGATGCTGTTTGAGGCACCCCAGGGTGCAGTTTGCCCTCCTGGCTGCCAGGATACACCCTGCTGACTCAGACTGAGCTGCTGCCAACCAGCAGCCCCAGGTGACCAGTGGCCAGCCAGGTGTAGCCCAAATCAGTCCAGTCCTCTGAGCTCTGCCCTTCAGCCAGTTCTTCACCCAGCGCACCCTGAACCCACTCATCTCACAGCTGGACAGCTTTTCCAGAAAGATGCTGGGAGGGGCAGTATCAAAAGCCTCCCTAGAATCCAGAAAAATTGCACCCACCATCTTCCCTTCATCCACTGGGCAGGTGACCTTATCAGAGTAGGATGTCTAATGAATTAAATCAGATTTTCCTTTGTGAACCCATTTTAATTGTGTCTGATGAGTGCATTATTCTTCAAATGCCTTTCAATAGTACCCAGTAGAATCTGGTACTCCATAATGGTTGCAGGTACTGAGGTTAGAAGACAGATTAATAAGTCTGTAGTTCATGGGGTCTTCCCTCACACTATTTTTTGTAGGAGGATGTGGAATAACATTGGCCTGCTTCAGTCAGCAGGCACCTCCCCAGACTCCCAAGACCTTTGGTACCTGATCAAGAGAGGTCCTGCCATAACTTCACTAGCTCCTCAAAATTCTGAGATGAATTCCATCAGGCCCCATGGACCTGAGAACATTCAGCTGATACAGCTGGGCCCTTACAGTTTCAGTGTCCACAAATCAAAACTCACTATTCCCACATTTGTGGTCCTCTGCCTCAGGGGTCCAGGCAGCCCAAGGCTTATCTCAACTTTCCAAATGTGTGTATCTGTAATTGCAGTGGAATATTCTAACCATATTCTTGCTAGAAAGCAAAATCTTCATACATACATGCATATATCTGTATCTTTTTTTTTTTTTTAAAGTACCTCGAAAACCCCTTTGTGTGGAATCTTTTACACATGAAAATCAGGATTCTACAAAGGCTGGTGTGGTGTTATAGAATACTCCCCCACCGTCTGCTTGATAGAATTGAATTGCAGAATCTTATCTTGTAATTTGGAGAGTGAAAAATTATTGGATACAACTAGACCAGTCTCCTACTCTTATCTTATGGAAAGTTTAAAAATCCATTATTTTCAGATAAATAGAATCACTTCTGTGAGTAATAAGCTAGAATGGTGGGCAAGAGGCTATACTTCATCTGCACTAATCTCAGTGACTAATACAGAACATGATGGATAGTAGCAAAAATATCTGCTTTGAGTTGTTTTTAAAATTGAACTGGATAAACAACCCTTCATCTCTTTCCAGTCATTATTCCCTTCTAAGAAAGAAATTTTAGAATTGTGTCATGGCTACAGCCTTGGACTCTGTGCTAAGCATTATTTAATAAAACCTAGGTAAATTGAGAAAATGTGGTATTATTAGCTAAAGTTACTGCAAGAAGAGCTAAGGGCTGCTGCAGACTTGAAATGTGGAAGCTGTCTTCCAAATCTGTCTTCTGTCAATGAGAGATTTATTTTCCTGTTTGTTTAAATTAATAGTAAAATATGGACAACTCTGAAAACTGTTTTTTTACAGTATTTCCTTTTTGTACATATCAAAGTCTGTCCAAAATACTAGGATCCAAGTCTCACTTTAATCAACTGTATTTCCTTGTTATATCCAAGTCATACTTGTTTTGTCCTTAGCTGTCATGTGATTCTTGAAGTCACCTTTTTTAGTTTTTGTTTTTGTTTTTTTGTTTTTTTTTTTTGTATTTTGCAGTGTCTGGTAGCTGTTATGCCTAATTTTCCATGGTGAAGATTTATGAGTAATTTGAGGAGAAAGAGGTTCTAGGGAAAATAGTATATGCTCAGAACCAATGTTAGAAAAGTTTGTTTCCTTTTGGAAGTAGAATTTAGGTGGTGTTTTTTGGTGGTGGTTTTTTATTTGTTTGTTTTTGTTTGTTTTTTTTAAATTACTGATGTGCCAGCACTTGTTCTGTGATTGAGGAAATCAGTGGATGCTTAACTGACCTATGTAAGGCTTCATCCTTTTAGATTAGCATGGATGAACCATAAATGCCACTTTTTTGATTTCCACATAAGGTTTTTTCTTGGACAGTCAAGCAATCCAATAAATAGGAAAGAAATGCCCGTTGAGATACGAGTGGTCCTGCCCTTTGAGCACTTTTTGATGCACATGGGTAACCTTTCTTCACACATCCACTTGCTCAGAAGAGCTATCGGGATAACCTTTTCTTCCACAGATTTGTCTGCTCAGAACTATCAGCATAACCTTTTCTTCCATGCAGAGAGTGAGTTTGATGTCTGTTTAACTCAGGAAGACCTGCTTTTCCCAGCACCAATAGTGATATCCAGGGAGGCTGGTTAAAGTGCAGCCTTCCAGTGCAGCAGGCAGAGCTCAGAGTGAGGAGATGAGCCACAGGAATGGGATTCAGGTGACGTATATGGAAATTCTGATTCTCCTATGTGACCTTAAGCAAATAGTTTCTTCTTTTGCACTTTAATTATCTCTGAGCTGCAGGCAGTTTGTTTCTTGTTCAGAGGCATTTAGTACCACAGGTCCAGCTTTAGTTGTGCCTTCATCCTTTATGCAAAGCCTCTACATGGGCCTTGGGAAGCTCATATAACTCATTGGGTGAGCTAACCTGCAGCTCCTGAGCTGTGGTCTATCAAGCCAGGGCAGCTCTATCTGGTTAAACACTGTATGCCTGCAGAGTTTAGGTGTGATCCAAATCCCTATGGGTGTCTTTTCACTAATTCCAGTGAGCTTTGGAGCAGAAATTTAATGCTTCATGGGATGTTTTCAGTGTGGGAAGCATACACTCATTCCGGGTGTTTCAGTACAGTTTTAAGCTCCTGACTAATTCCTATTTACAGGTTTTGCATTCTAATGATTTATAAATTTGTGAAATGAAAGTAGAATTATTTAGACTTCCTGGGGAATGCAGTTCTAAGCACACCTGGTCTAATTAGAGGTTTAATTTCTCTCCTGAGTGAAAGTCTAAATCCTTTTAACTCTCCAGAGGGACAGAGAATAAAAATGGTTGTGAAGTATTGAGCAGAGCCAATTACATAAAGAAAAGGGTGTTGTTGGATGACCATAAAACCTGCAAAGCGCACCAACACATACAGAATAAGATGGCTCACAAGTGTTTTGCCAATCTGTCCTCATAGCAGGCTTGTTGGTGCAAGAGAAGCAATTTTGAGGCATGCATTTTTGCAGATGTGGCCATAGATGAGTATCTTTTGCATGTGAATGGTTTTCTTTTCCTCTTGCTGCAGGGTTGTCCCAGTTTAATTTCTCTCCATGTGTTCTTGCTGAAACTTCTGTCTGTGGTTACTGTATCAGTGGTCTCACAGAGTTTAGGAACCTGTCTTGCAGCTCAAGGCTCATTTAATGGAAATATGCTAGGAACAAGACCAAGTGCAAGTTGGAATTTATATCCTTGACATTTGATTTAGGATAAATTCCTGTCTTTGATTCTTAAATTATGACCCAAAGGCTTTTGTTTAGATAGTGTTTAGACCCTAGAGATTTCTAATTTATGCAGGGGCATCTTTGCTTGACTGAAGTTCCCTGAGGCTCTTCTCTCTGCACATGTTAGGGATTACAACTCTCTTGTTAAGTGAAGCACCTCCGGTATGAAATGATGTCTGAACTCTGCAGGCGCAGGGAGCCAGAAAGTCTTCTTCTGCCTCTGGCTTGTGGGCTGCTTGATTCTGCAAGTGCTCATGGACTTGGTCTGTTGTAGGAGATACCTTACAAAATAGTTTTGTTTAACTGATTTCTTTTTAATTACACTTAGAGAAGGGGTAATTTTGCTGCTTAATGTGGTATGTATGCTTTAAAGTTCTGTCTGGAGTGTCTGTGTTTGTGGTTTAGTGGTTAAGATATGTAGCTGGGAGGAGGCAGGCTTCAGTTCCAGTCTTTATTTTCTTGTTGTGCTTTAGTGAGTGTTAAATCCAAAATATAGACTTTGTTTGTCTGAAAAATCAGCTTGAGAGGAAGTACCCACTCAGCTGTAGGAATAAAAATGGGAGTAAATAATGATTAAAATGCAGTTGAAAAACAGTTTTACTAAGTTCTGTGCTCTGGAGCAGAAAGCTGTAAGAAACATAGTAGTGAATCTTTGTTGTACATTTGAATTAGGCCCTCAGCCAATGGCACATACTAGTTTTCTGAATTTTTCTCTTACAACATCAAAGTTGAACTAAAAATCCTATCAACAGAACAGCACTTAGAGAAGCATAAAAATGTGTGAAGGGAGGATAATTCATGAAGTCTGTTCTAAATAAACATCTTTCCCTAGCTCAAGAAAGTGGACAATCATCAGCTCATTAGCTCATGATCCATGTTTGGATAAAATTTTTCATGGCAAATATATACTTAAAATGGAGAGAAAAACACATAGGTGTCTGCAGCTGTTGCTGTGCTGTCTTCTTCGGCATACTTGGCTTTTGTGGGCAGTGCGCATTTTCTCAGGTGATAATTACAGATCTCTTCAGCACAACTTTGTTAAAAAGGCAGGTTATTTTGCTCTTGATTTGTACTGATTTATTTCTTAAGAATACTTGTGCTGTTACTGTAGGTGCTCAGATTATGAGAGGGGAGGATGGTGAATTAGGAGCCTCATAGAAGGACCTGTATGTACACACAACTGGCCTTATAAATGGATTTTCTGCCGAGTGTTTACGGAAAGCTCATTAGTTGTTCATGACGTTTTGGTGTGAGGCTTCCTCAAAAG